TACAATTATTTTTGGTGTGTTTTTTTCTAAACGTGTTTGATTTGACGTTTTAAAATGCATCCTTACGTATTAAACAGACAAGAGATGGTATAGGAACACATTCATAACCGGGAGCGAAAAGATGGCACACAGAGGGGTTGATACGAGTTGGTAGATATATTTGTGGCACCCCTTCGAAAAGAACCTAAGCACTTGGAGCGTGTAACAGTGGCAGTGGGTATAACTATGTTCTTTCTCTCTCTCTCTCTCTCTCTTTATTTCTCTTCTTCCCCCTCTCTTATATGCTTCAACGAAACCAGCTTGGCACCTTTATTTCCGGCGACATGGGCTCCCGTGGGATTTTGCCCGGGAAAAGGGAATCACCGGGCTAGCACCGCCATAATTTCCGTTCGTTTTTTAATCCAATGCACGTGCTACGCTAAAGGGAGAAAAGTGAGACAAAACTATATCCTAAATATCTTTCGATACTAAAATTATTTTCATTTTCTTACCCTTAATAAAATGTCGTTCTTACTAAAAATATTGGCCCTAGTAGCACAAAATATTGAAAAATATTGAATACATGTGTATTTAATATTAAAAAGGCAATGAAATTTCTTTTTAATATTAAATACACATGTATTCAATATTTTTCAATATTTTGTGCTACTAGGGGGCTTTCGTTTAAAAAGAAAAGAAACAACAAAAAAGCAGAAATAATCGAATTTTTTTTTGAATTTTTATATAATTGATAAATTTTGTGTGTGTGTTTGTGTGATATATTTATAAATAAATTAATTTTTAAATATATACATAAAATTATTAAATTATTCGATTATTAAATACGTAAAGTTAGATAAATAGAAAGAGAGGACAGAAGAAAAAGTTGCTAAAATTATCAACGTCAAACTTATCTTCCTGACTTAAGTGACTTTTGACAACAAAAGGAAAGAAAATCTAATAAATAAAAAGATTCATAAGTCTTCTTCTCTTGTTATAGCGAAGACAATAATTTCATATCCTTTGTCCAGGATTTTCTTATCTTTAAAGAAATAGAAAATAACTGAAATTTATTTTCTTAATAAAGATTGTGATGATGATGCTCTTGTTTGTTCTTCTATACTATGTTTCCTTAACTATGTTGCACTTGGTACTAATACACAAACACCATGTACACTGATATATATATACTTGTATAGATGAGTTAGTTCGTTCCGCGTGGAAAGTTAGCGGACTCGATTCACTAAAGATAAACTTGACAGAATCGAGAGAGAAGTTTCCTCCTTCTATTATATATATATATATATATATATATA